CCTCTAAGCCTTCCACTTCTGAATATGAATCTTCTCCTTGCTCAGCATATGCAATCCATTGACTCATGATGTCTGGTGGCAACAGAGCCCCAGCTCATGGGCACTCCCAGATGGTGACGGGAATCCTCAGCCCTCTGTGTGGCTAAGCTAGGACCACATAAAGTCAAGGATCCATGCAGGTAATAAGGCCAAACACTGTCGCCAAGGATCCCAGGTGTCCCCAGCCTGCACACCAGCCTGTCACTCTGCATTCGGTCTCCTCCCAGGGAGCAGAAGTGCTTGTCCAGCACCCTGTCACCCCTGGACACCTCCAGGCTGTGAGTCCCTGGTTATTTTACAGACATTTGCAAGTCACTGCTAGACAATTCTGTGCCATCAGCCCACCACACATGAGGAAAACTGAACCAGGTCCAACCATCCAACCATCCATCCGTGTGTCATGTCGTGTCATGTGTGTCTGTCCCGTCCCTCCCCCTCCATTTCTTGCTAAAGGTAAATCTGAACCAAGCTTCTAGACTCTGCTTCCGGTAGTCACTAACCAAATCATGTTTACACCACGGTCCTCTAAAAAAATTCAAGTAAGAACTTAACAGATGGACCACACTGCTTTAAAGGCATGCCTTCACACACAGGACATCCCAGCGGCTCTGTGCATGTTTTCACACACGGGACATCCCGGCGGCTCTGCGCATGCCTTCTCACGCGACATCCCGGCGGCTCTGCGCATGTTTTCACACACGGGACATCCCCGCGGCTCTGCGCATGTTTTCACACACGGGACATCCCCGCGGCTCTGCGTATGTTTTCACACACGGGACATCCCGGCGGCTCTGCGCATGTTTTCACACACGGGACATCCCCGCGGCTCTGGGCATGTTTTCACACATGGGACATCTCCGCAGCTCTGGGCATGTTTTCACACATGGGACATCCCCGCGGCTCTGGGCATGTTTTCACACAAAGGGCATCCCTGTGTCTCTGGGCATGTTTTCACACGCAGGACATCTTCCAGCTCTGGGCATGCTTTCACACACGGGACATCCCTGCGGCTCTGGGCATGTTTTCACACACAGGACATTCACGCGGCTCTATGCACACTTTCACATATGGAACATCCGCGCGGCTCTGGGCATGTTTTCATACACGGGACATCCCTGAGGCTCTGGGCATGTTTTAACACATGGGACATCCCCATGATTCTTTGACAGAGTGTTAAGACATCTGTAAGTGACAGTAAGTTCCACCAGGTCTGCACATGTCCACTCCACAGCAAATGGTGCTCACACAGGAGCTTTCCAACAAGGTATCCTGGCACTTTGTTTTGTTTTGTTGAGCAGGTCTTACTGTCTACCCCAGGCTAGCCTTGACCCTACACTTGCTTTCCAGTGCTGGGATTACAGATGTGTACCACTGTGCCAGCTCCACGGCAATAACAGAAAATGCTAGGGAGCAAACCTTGCCTTCTGAATTTCCTGCCAGCAGGAAGTTGACGGACACTGACGAAACCCACTAACTGCTGTTTGACTGGTGTGGTCATTCTTGTTCCGCCCTGCCTGGAGGCGTCATGAAGGAAGCAACCCAAACCAATTCTTGCAAAGCCATCTCGAGGAGCCACCAGCAAGCACAACCCTGCCCTCAAAGAATCCTAACACCTGAGTCCCTGAGGAGAGAGCTATGCTGACCAGCCAGGCCAAGGACCTGGGGTGCAGTGATCTGGCTCACCCTCAGTCGCCTGAGGCATCTTGGGAACAGGAAGAGCTAAGAAGACTAGTTCAAGCCTGTCCTGCAGGAGTTTAGGCAAGGGAATCCTGGTACTGGGTGCACAGTAATCAGGAGGGGTTTTCAGGCCCCAAACAGACACACTCGAACAGGCCCATGGCCCTCGTCCAGCACAGGCCTTGAAGGAAATGGTCTACTGCACCAACCACCCAAACCTACAACCTCTGTGTGGACTGCATGCTCACCCTACCCTGACATGGGACTGTCAACAGGTGTGCCAGAAGACTGCCTTAAGGCCCACCATGGACTGCAGCCACTAAGGAAGGGTGCTGGACTTTCACCTTGGCAGAGTGACCTCTGACCTCCAGCTCCTGACTCTAGGGCAAGGACTCTCTGCTCAGAAAGCCCCTCAAGCCAGGTGTGGTGATACATGCCAGTAATCCTGGCACTCAGGAACATGAAAAGTTCAAGGTCATCCTCAACTACATGGTAAGATTGAGGCTAGCCTGGGCTACATAAGACCCTGTCTCAAAAAATCTATAGGTTGACGAGATGGTTCAGTAGTTAAGAGCAAGTACTGTTCTTGCAGAGGACCCAAGTTTGGTTCTCAGCACCTACATCAGGCAGTTCATAAGTGCCTGTAACTCCAACTACAAGAAGATCCAACGCCTCTGACCTCTGCTGACATCTGCACACATATGAACACCCTCTGACCTCTGCTGACATCTGCACACATATGAACACCCTCTGACCTCTGCTGACATCTGCACACATATGAACACCCTCACAACAGACACACACCTAAAAATAAAAAAAGGATAAATTTTAAAAAATTAGTAATGATAAATAAACCTTCTAAGCACCAACCACCCCCATATCTCTGTCTGTCTCTGTCTCTCTCTCAAGCACTCTCTCTCTCCAACATATTCTCTCTCTCCATGCCTTCCCACTAATCCAGCACTCCCAGGCGGCAGGGCCCCACCCACACCAGGGCAGGTAAGAGGGAGGGAGGGAGCAGAGGGCAGGAGCACAGAGTCCCGGAAAAGGCGAGGCACACTAGAAAAGCCAGCTGGGTATTTCTGGCACCACAGTAATGGGGAGTCACTGCACATTTGCACATTTATCAGCACAGCTTCAGGGAAACAAGTAGCACGCAGTCAGACCTGGGCCAGGGCCTCCTGACCAGCAAGGCTGGACTGGGGCCTGCAGCCATAGTGTGCACCAGGAGGAGCTGCTGTCCAGCCCCTGTAGCTTGTGCATGGCCTACATCGCAGCACCTCCCCAAAGCTCCACTCCTCCTTCAGGACCCCACCCTGGGCACTGTTGTCATTCCCAGAAGGAACTGGGCCAACCTGAAAATACCCCTTCCACCCCCGCCAGCCCTACCTGGGCTTAAGACACCTGACTGAAAGCACACTGAGGCAAACGATGGGTGGTCACTTCCCATACAAACAGCACTGCGGGCCCTGAAGCACAGACCTGCTGGGCGGACGGACCACTTTACTATTCCAGACTGAAAACTGTTCCTAAGACCAGGCACCAGAATCTCCTGGGCAAAGTTTTGCTCTGTTAAATTCCAGGTTAGGTGCTGAGGGGCAACTCAGAGCTGAAGTATCCATCCATATGCACAAGGTTGGGGTTCAGCCTCGGGCACCACAACAAAAACCAAAACTAAAACAAAAGGCTGATGAAATGGCTCAGTGGATAAAGGTGCTCACCACTAAGATGGACAAGCATGGGAGCTGCAGAGGTGGTGCAGTGGTTAAGAGCACCGGCTGCTTTTGCAGAGGGACTGGGTTTGGTTCCCAGCACCCACATGGTAGCTGGACAACCGTTCATAACTCCAGTCCCAGGGGCTCCGATGCCCTCTTCTGTCCTCCACAGGCATTGCATGACCTGCGTGCACTTACACATATGCAGGCAATATACTCATACACATAAAATAAAAATAATAAAATATCTTTTAGAAAAAGACTAGTAGCCTAAATTATAACCAGGACCCACCTGGTGGAAGAAGCAGACTCCCACAAGCTGTCCTCTGACATCCATAAGTGTGACAACACACACAGATCCACATGCAAGCATGTGTGTGGACACGCACTCACACACACTCTCTCTTGCTCTCTCTCTCTAAATGTTTTAATTTTGTTAATAACTAAAAATACCAAGTTAAATTCAGCACCGAGTACTGAACTCCGCTCTGGACAACCTGAACTTCTTAAAACACATACATACTGAAAACCCTACAAGCATTCCACCTAAGGATTCGAAGATGCCCAGACACAACAGGCCCCTGGGACTACCCAGAGAAGCCAGAAGAGCCAGGCATTCCCCAGACACTGTCTACACCTCTTCAGATACAGGCCCACCACCTGGCTAGCAGGTTCCCCAACAGGCTCATGTGGAGTAAATTCATGGTACATACAGCAGCACTAGGCCATAGGGCAAGCTGATGCCAGGCATGTTTTCGCGCTCCACCCATGTCACAGAAGGGATACCTGAGAACGTGTCTCACCTGGGCAGCTCTCCTGGATGCCTGAAGGGGGTCACAACAAATATGCAACACATACTAATTCCATTTCCCACCACAGGTCTGCATGTGAATTACTGGTTGGCAGTGTAGCTGAGCACAGACCATCTGCCTGGCACACGCAAGGCCCTGGTTTCCACCACAGAACCACAAAGAAAAAGTATACAGGGCTTCCAGCGAGGAAGGGCGAGATGCTGAGTGCGCAGCCTCCATTCCCTCAGCTCTGACAGGGAGGCTGCGGAGGCCGGCATGTGGGAAAAAAGCGACCAATGGTGAGACAAAGGCAGGGGAACTGGGCTACTTCTGCTAAATCAGGAACTGTAGTAAGCTCTGCACAGCCAACAGGTGCCCGCTCCTGACATCCTTTAGCAGACATTACACAAACCGTGGGACTTGGTTGAGGGTAGAACCTTTGCCTAGCGAGGCAAAGCCTAGGTTTTGCCAGGAACCAGGAAAAATAAAAATAGCCACCAAAATGGTTGCCGTTTTTTAAGTTTTACGGACCTAAAGGGGAGGTATTTTGCACAACTAAAATCCACTGAAATAGGACAGCCTCACCTCTCACAGGACCTGGGACCACCAGGATGTGCAGCAAGGACCGTCCTAATGATAAAACAGAGGCTGGCTCCCACAGGATGGATGGGTGCACCATGGGTACAACACACTCAGACCTACATGGGAACCAGGAACGTGACGCACCCCCATGAGCCGACCCCGTGCTAGGGTAGTCCTCTGGCCAGCCTCCACCTACCTTTGGCATGAAAGGTCCAGCCCCTGCGTTGGTATTCCTGCAGCAGGACCCGCTCCTGCTGCCCCAGGCTGCACACTTCGTGGTAGAACTGTTGCTCAATGTGCACATAGGCAGCTGGGATGGCGCCAGCCACACCCTTGGCCCCAAAGAAGCCGTTCACCTCAGGTGAGGCCAGCAGGATCCGGTACTCGGCCCGTGTGCCTAAGACCAGGTCCATATAGGCTTGAGTCAGATTGAAGTAGCCAGTGGTGAGAAAGACCTTAGCCCCTCGCTCGGCCTCAGTCAGCAGGGTCTCCGTAACTATCTCGTCTATTTGAATCTCAAAAGGCTTCATCTGGATCAGCGGGTAAATCCAGGTGTCAGGCACTGGTCTCCGGTCTCCGGCAGCAGCGGCCTCTTCCTGGCTTAACAGAGAGTCACCATGGAAGGTCTGCGCATGCAGCATCTGCTGCCGGGTCCTGGCTGACTGGATCACATCCATGACCCGCTTATTGGCAGCTTTGCAGTACGCAGCCCTGTCACCTACAGGAGGCACAAGAGAGAAGGAAAGAGAGCACTGAGAGCCAGGCGTGGCAGTGCATAGCTGTCACTGTCATCATACACGTGTAACCCCAGCCCTTGGGAGGTTGACACGGGAGTATCAGGGGGTCAAGGTTATCCTCAGCTACACAGTGTGTTTCAGGCCAGCCTATTAGACCCTGTCTCAAAAAACAAGCAGTCAAGACTCCGATGGCTCAGGGTATACAGCATGCGATAGGTAAGGAAGTGCAGATGTGCACGGTGATCACTGGCAGAACAGACGGAGCGAGCTCAGGACAGAGGAGGTGGGTGCCCACCGGACCTACAAGCATGGGGAGGCAGCAGGGCGCGCTGCAGGTAATTAATTCTGATTACAAAACCCCCCAAACAGGCAAGAGAACAGGCAGACAAACACGAGGCAGTGCTGCCTTAGGGATAACACCTGGGAGGGGTGCAGGGGAGCTCTGGAGAGTGATCTACTGCAAACAGACACCTGAGTAGCGCCTCTGTGACAACTGTCCAACATGCATGCTGCACTTTGTTAAGGACGTTTATGAACACAGAAGTACATGACAGGGCCAGGCATGGTGGCACCTGTCTGTAATCTCGCACTTGAGGATGAGGTTAAGGTCAGCCTGAGCTACATAGTGAGAACCTGTCACACACACAAAAGAATCCGGAAAAGGGCATGTGCTGGCTTAAAGAACCAAGAAAAGAAGAAAATGTAGGGACAGGCGGTGGGGAGAGGTGCTCACAGCCACAGCCACCGACCACAGAGAAGCCCTGAGGACAGGCCCTGGGCTCTGCATGGAGTTCACTCCCCAGGGAGATAGGACACTCAGAGGGAGAAAAAGAAACACCTGCAGCTGCTCTCGCCAGAGGAAGACTGGGGTCTGACAAGCAGCTCAAGAAGCCCAAGGACGAAGACGGGAAAGTGTAAACAAGCAGGAGGAGGACAGAGAGAAGGCCAGAACCAAACAGTTCCGAAGTGGGAACAACACTGCCCAGAGGAGTCTCTGAAAAGATTCATGAGACAGCAAGTCTCGGCAAGGCTGGTCAGGAAGAGAAGCAGCACAAGGCAGGAGGGCCGGGTTGGGTCTCCCACACTCACTCCACGGCCCATGTTGAGGACAGAGACAGATACTTGGGTGCCCCTCAGGTCTGGGCTAGAACAGAGAAGGGACTGCCTGTGTGGATACCACCCTCCTCAGCACCAGCTGCCATCAGGGGAGAACAGCAGCCAGGAAGGAGTGTGTGCTGGCTCCCAAGCACATCTGTGCAATATGTTAGACTTTGGGACCGAAAGACAGATCTAAGGGTAACCAGAGGGAAAGAAAATTTTCACGAAATTCCAATTGATGAGTATCAAGGCACAGGGGTAACAAGTAGGCATCCCCTGGCAGACGGGGCCACCAGGTGATTGTAGCCAGCTTGGCTGTCAGAGCTCACTGGCACAGGGCAGGGCTACCATCAGGAAGCCCCACACAAAAGCTTTCATCTCCGCTCATGGGACGTGAGGAGTTTTTCTCCTTACAAGGTCCAGTTTAACCCCTTCCCTGGGTTATCCCCAAGCTATGGACACTATTGCACACTTAGTAGCAGCCCTTTAAGGCCAGGTGAAGCCACAGCCACAGGAATCAGAGGAGTGCCCAGGAATCTGCTCCAGGCCTGCCTGTCTCGGGCACAGAGCTGAGCTCTCCCATTTCACTTCCCAGGCAGGAGACCACAGACCTCAATGGAGGCGGAGAGCAGCAGAGCCACTGTGACAGGAGGTTTGGGGAAGAGGCCAAGGTGGGCGGTCACTGGGCACGCTGCTTCCTGTAACTGCAGGGCAGCCTCCTGGCCGCCCCAGCCAACACACAAAGCCCAAGCCCAAACACCTGTTTTCCCAGGCTGGCTCTTCCTATAGAACACAACTGACCATCACTGAGCACATATGTCTGGCTCCAGAGACAGAGGCAGAATGCCCTGCCACCTGCTTCTTGCACTTGGGTCAAGGCCGACAGAGGAGCTCTACTGGCCCTCAGTCCACACCCAGGTCAGCACACCTGGACCCCTACCTTTGTAAGGATGTACCATCCCATCCACCACTTGCACTGTGTCATCAGCCTGCAGCTGCAGGGACAGATCCCCCACTGCGTCTACCAGCTCTGTGAAGAAGTCTGCGATCTCAGCACAGTCTTGCAAGAACACATAGCGGTCCTGGCGGTTGGTGAAGTAGGAGTCGCTCAGGTTTGCTCTACAGGGAAAAGAATAGGGTGAGGACTCAGCCAGGCGTGCATAGGGGCATGGTCTGGTGACCCGAGCCTCAGGGTAACTGACAAATGACAAACCAAGGTGGAACAAAGCCAGGGAAGCCAGTTAACAGGCAGCTACTGAGCGACAGTCATGAGCAGGACACCAGTCAAGCTGATGCTGAGTGACAGAACAGAGATGGCCCAGCCATGAAAGGAGCCGATCCAGCTGAGAACAGGCACTGAAGTCCACACAGCTGTCTTGGTGATGTCACAGTCCGAAATCCTGGGCTTCTGACCTGCTCAGTTCTTGTTTGGCAGACAGTTGTCTGCCAGATCTCTGATCTATTTTCTAACAGAGTGAGGAGAATAGCCACAGGGTCCTGACAGGAACTGAGTGAGATGGTAAAGGGAGGCTTAGCACCGTGGCCAATGTACGTGCTCAATGGTGGCTGTCTTCCAACCATCCACGGGAAGAGGCCTCGGGCTCTCTGACACCCAGAGCACACTGACAGAGTACAAAAGCTCACCCGCTCAAGATGACGTTATTGTCAAAGAGGTACACCTTGATGTGCTGGAGGCCGATCGTCTCGTTGAATCGCTCAGGGATAAGGAGTCGGAGGAGCCCTCGGAGGTTTGGCGTGTGGAAGAGGGAGACGCGCACGTGCTCAGGAAACCGCTGCAGGAGCGGGAGCAGCATGGTACGAGAGTTCTTCCTGCCTGCGTGAGACAGGCAGTCTCAGTGACGTCACAACCAGAAAAGACGTCCTGAATGCCAGAAAGGACAATTCCCCGGGGGCCTCACTTCACCGGGTCACCCATCGGAGCTGGCCACCCGACAGCCAGCGGAACCCTGGGCCACATCAGACTTCAGGGAGGGCTGGTGCTGCATGTAACAGGTCTGTTACTTTTGCCACCCACAATAGCTCCCCCTCCTCCTGGTAATTCCACCCAAATGCCTCCTAGGGTGCCACCCGCCCCCCAGTCTTTCTGCCCTGACCCTTCAACTCCATCTCCACAGGAAAACATACCAGCCTGAGCCAGACTGCTATGCACACTCTAAGCCCCTGATGACAATTAACTCAGATCTAGTCCATAGTCCACAACAGCCATCAGGAACTTTGGCCTGAGTCTCAGGGAAGCTGACTTCCTTCAAAGAGACAAGGAATCCTGGGAATACGGCCTTAGCCACCAGAGCCCCACAGAGCGTCAGAATGAAGCAGGCCCGAGGAAGGGGAGTCAGAAGACAGACCTGACAGCCGCGCCTCAGTCACAGCCCATTCCTGTGGCTGCAGGAGCCATGACTAGAGCAGGACCCCGGCTACCAGTACAACTCCTCAAACCAAGGATGGGACGGAGGAAGTGCCAGGGGCCAGGTGTGCATAACACTTACCCCTTGAGCCCCGAGTGAAATCCAGGAGAATGGAGACCTTGAGACCAGAAGGAAACTTTGCTTGCAGTGACTTTTCTAGAGTGCTTTCCAGGCAGTCCACCTCAGGAAAAGAATCCAAAGTAACACACGTTGAGACAAAGAGATGCTTGTGCAGCTAAAGAGGTCAATCACCTAGCAGCCTCACCACCCTCTCTGAGAACACTACGGCAGCTCTGCGTGAGCTCGTCGGCCACCGAGCACCCTCTCCAAGCACCCTCTCCAGCTCGGGCCCCAGGGAAGAGAAGGGTGGGTGCAGGGCAGAGGGTTTGCTCAGCGGCCTGGGCCTCACCATTCCTGGAAATAGTCTCTAAGGTCACAGTTCCCAGCATCTCCACAGACATCATCCTCTCACACAAGCATCACCCTACGCATAGAGCGTAGTCAGCATGTGTCTGCCAAAAGAGTGAACGCATCAGGACATACCTGCACACCGGTGAATGCGTCAGGACACACACACTGCACACCGGTGAATGCGTCAGGACACACACTGCACACCGGTGAATGTGTCAGGACACGCACACTGCACACTGGTGAATGCGTCAGGACACGCACACTCCACCCCGGTGAATTCGTTGGGACACACTCACTGCACACCAGTGAATGCGTCAGGACACGCACACTCCACCCCGGTGAATTCGTTGGGACACACACTGCACACCAGTGAATGCGTCAGGACACGCACACTCCACCCCGGTGAATTCGTTGGGACACACTCACTGCACACCAGTGAATGCGTCAGGACACGCACACTCCACCCCGGTGAATTCGTTGGGACACACTCACTGCACACCAGTGAATGCGTCAGGACACGCACACTCCACCCCGGTGAATTCGTTGGGACACACTCACTGCACACCAGTGAATGCGTCAGGACACGCACACTCCACCCCGGTGAATTCGTTGGGACACACTCACTGCACACCAGTGAATGCGTCAGGACACGCACACTCCACCCCGGTGAATTCGTTGGGACACACTCACTGCACACCAGTGAATGCGTCAGGACACGCACACTCCACCCCGGTGAATTCGTTGGGACACACTCACTGCACACCAGTGAATGCGTCAGGACACGCACACTCCACCCCGGTGAATTCGTTGGGACACACTCACTGCACACCAGTGAATGCGTCAGGACACGCACACTCCACCCCGGTGAATTCGTTGGGACACACTCACTGCACACCAGTGAATGCGTCAGGACACGCACACTCCACCCCGGTGAATTCGTTGGGACACACTCACTGCACACCAGTGAATGCGTCAGGACACGCACACTCCACCCCGGTGAATTCGTTGGGACACACTCACTGCACACCAGTGAATGCGTCAGGACACGCACACTCCACCCCGGTGAATTCGTTGGGACACACTCACTGCACACCAGTGAATGCGTCAGGACACGCACACTCCACCCCGGTGAATTCGTTGGGACACACTCACTGCACACCAGTGAATGCGTCAGGACACGCACACTCCACCCCGGTGAATTCGTTGGGACACACTCACTGCACACCAGTGAATGCGTCAGGACACGCACACTCCACCCCGGTGAATTCGTTGGGACACACTCACTGCACACCAGTGAATGCGTCAGGACACGCACACTGCACACCGGGGAATTCGTCAGGACACGCAGACTGCACACTGGTGAATTCGTCGGGACACACACACTGCACACCGGTGAATTCGTCAGGACACGCAGACTGCACACTGGTGAATGTGTCAGGACACGCACACTGCACACCGGTGAATTCGTTGGGACACGCACACTGGGCCTTCCCCTGACTAGGATATTCTTTCTCTCCCATGAGAACAAGTTCCCCAAGCTTGCACTACGAGGACTACTGGAGAATAGAGGGAAGCCTCCCCGCTCCGAGTCAGAGAAGTAGTGAGTGTCTAGGCTAGCCCATCATCCTCCTGCTCCACACACCAATGGCTCATTTCTCAGCTCCCACCCAGAAAGAACTCACACAACGGGCAAGAGACCAGCTTCCTCCCCTTCTCCAACTCTGCCTCAGAATGCTGCCTGCCCAGGGCTGTGCTACAGTCAGCAGCCCCAGGTGACTGCAGCCCCTCTCGGCCCTGTCTGCCTCACTGAGAGTGAAAGCAGTGGCACGTCAGTCAGTGCAGGCAGAGCGAGGCTGGCCGAGCCCTGGCACTTGGTCCCAGCCTTGGCAAATCCAGCAGCCAGTGAGCCAGCACCGGGGTTCATTCGCCTAGGATGGGTCAAAAATGTTCTGAAAAGGGCCACAGTGTAAATATTTTGGGTTTTGTGAGCCAGATGGTCTCTGTCACAATGACTCAGTCGTGCAGCTGTCACAGGGAAGCAGCCACAGCCAACGTGCAAGGATGAGTGTGGCCGTGCTCCAAGAAAACATTATCGACATGTAAACGACATGCTTCTATGTGAGTCACAGCATTCTCTGCTTTTTTCCAATCACTTGAGAATGCAAAAGTCACTCTTCATGCAGAGACCACACAAAAGCAGGCTGTGGGTCTGATGTGGCCTACAGGCTACAGCCTGGTACAGCAGCCCAGAGCCCTGGGAGAGTGAGGGGAGACACTGCAGCACCCAAGTGGACCACCCACCCCTTCCTCACCCACTCCTGACACACCCGTATCTGGGGAGACACAAGCATCTGCAACGCCTCAGATCGGACTCAAGCTGCTGCTGGGACCACCTCCCCCCAAATCTTACCAGTTCCTGTTCCAAAGGACCTATCCCCAGATAGAGGGATGCCATCACAACCCGCCTCTTGGCTACTTGTATCTGCCCCTGAAAGAGGAAAAACAACGCTAAGTTCATGTTCACTGTTTTCTCCATCCACTGAGAAGACAGGATCTTCTGACATTTGAGGCAAGTCATACTCTAAGCTGAGCAACTCTACATCTTTACCAACTAACACTTCAAGTCATTCGAAACCATGTAAGGCAACTTATAAAAGAACTCCGCCTGGCGTGGTGATGCATGTCTTTAGTCCCAGCACTCAGGAGGCAGAGGCAGGCGGATCTCTGTGAGTTCAAGGCCAGCCTGGTCTACATAGCAAGTTCCAGAACAGCTGGGGACACAGGAAGACCCTGTCTCAAAAACACCAAAAAAAAAAAAAAAAAGAATCCATAATCCCAAACCCTCACCCTGCAAAGTAAGGTACAATCTAATCTGATACAACATGCACTGTCACTACTACAGGATGGAAATTGCCGTGTGCGTATGTGTTCTGATCATGTGTTCACGTACGTGTGTTTCTGTATGTGTTGGTACGCATGTGGGCCAAGGAACAACCTCGGGTGTGTTCGAGAGCCATTCATCTTCTTTGAGACCAGGTGTCCCACTGGCCTGGAGTTCACCAAGCAGGCCAGCTGGCCAGCAAGCCCTAGAAATCCACCTGTCTGCAACCCCAGCACTAGGATTACAAGCACATGCCACTACGCCTGGCTTTTTTCATGTGAATGCTGGCACTAGAACTCAGATCTTCATACTTATGAGGCAAGCACTTTACCAACTGAGCTGTCTCTCCAGCCCAGGATCAAAGAAATCTGTGTGCCTGAGGAGAACTCCCTGTGTTGCTGAGAGACAAGAGCATCTCCTAGAACACAAGCATAACCCCGCCTTACACCCCGTCAGCACACGTACTCATGTGAATGTACACACCAGTCTGGAAAGGCATGGAGACTCAGTGCCACGCTGCTAACAAGCAGAACTGGGAGGAAGAGAGTGTCTGTGCAGCCTGCACCTTCTACCATCTGCATGATGAGGATCTAACAGCAGGCTCTGCTTTAGAAAACTATAGACAGGACACGCCACACCAAATGACAACATGTCACAAGGTTGTCTCAACAGCCAGTGTCCTCTCCCCAGACTCTCTCCAGTCCAAGAGAACAAAGGCGCACACTCCAAGTCCTGGGCAGCCCCACCCCCAGAAGTCAGAAGGGCAGAAAGAACAGCAGTGCACGCCTGGCATCCCGGCACTTGGGAAATGAGGCAGGAAGATCAGCAGTTCACAGCAAGTTCCAGGCCGCTTGGGCAACATGAGACCTTGTCACAAAAAACAAAGATCAATGCCAAAGGACAGCATGATTACGAGGGAGCCGCACAGCACAGCTCACACTGCCACTTAGGAGAGGAGGCCGCCCCCAGCCCATATTGTCCACCCAGGAAGTGGGCATCTTGACTAGACAGATGCGTGAACACCCTTGGGAAAGGCTCGGGCACAACCCCGGCGGGTTGCTACTTTCCTTTGTTTTGTCACCTGTTAAAACAGACGTTTGAGGAGATGAAGCTGATAAAACAGAAGCAAACAGGTCTGAGGCAGTACAGCTCTGGAGACCGGAGTGTCTGTGATGCTCACAGGAGGACACCAGGACCAAGACCACCCACACTCTTAAGGATGGCACAGGGACCAGGCAGGTCTGTGAGGTCACTGTCTGTCACAGGGAGTCACATGTATCCCTCAGGTGTGATGCAAGCTAGAACCCGCCAGTCTGGGGACAGGAAAAGAAGGCCAGACTCCTCTCACTTCCCAACCCATGGAGCTGGCCCCTCTGCTGCGCCCTAGCCCCTGCAGCCCCACCAATGTGGGCAGCTGTGCAGCATGGCCCTGCCTCCTGGCAAGAAGGATCGCCACGTGGCGACAGTTCTCAGTCAGCCAGGGTTGATTAGGGTGCTGAAAAAAATACCTAGAAAAACCTGTTTCTCCAAGCCAAGGAGTAAGAGAACCAAACAGGGCAAAGAGCATGTTATAGCATCGGGATCTCAGACAAGGAGGCAGGGGGTGGAGAAGCAGGGTTAGGGGACAGCAGGGGGCTGCCCATGGGCACACACCTAGCCTGGATCCTCCCATGAGCACAGACACACACAGAATGAGCCAGCCAGAAATTAAGCTAAGTGTGGATCAACAGAGAGAGTGAAAGGGGAGAAACAGAGCACTCCCTTTCTGCACAGAGACCTGGAACTCCCGTTCTCTCCTAGTACCTCTGCCTACCCCTCACCAGAGCCCCCTGCCTACCCCTCACCAGAGCCCCCTGCCTACCAGCCTCACCAGAGCGTTTCTACAGTGACTGCCAGTGTGAACTTAAGAGTTCATGTTGTTAAAGATTGATTAGTATTGAATTACTTCATTCCAGTTAGCAGGCGACCATGAGCTAGCTGTGGAAAGCAAGCCCTATGTGCAAAGCTGTTATAACTATAGGAAAAGGAGGGACACACCACAGTCCTGAGATCCAGGATGCCCGGACCTCAGTCAGGGGGCACGAGTCTCCCAGTGAATTCAAAATGCCTCTTCACCAAGCAGCCACTGTCCATCAGATCCCTCCAGGTGTTCTTCCTGGCAACCTCTCCCTACCCAGCCCCCACAACAAAGGATGAAGAGGCTACCAGTCCAGGGCTCCCTTCATCTGTGGTGGGGAGGGGCTGGGGTCCACCAGCTCACTACCTTCCTGTCTCAGAATCAGAGCCTCATCCTGTCCTTACCACCTCCCGCTCTGAGGCACTACCCACCCAGGGAAGCTTCCACTTGGGGCTCAACTCAAACACTTGTGAAGGTGAAACCAGACAGGCAGAACCACACCAGAAGTTTCTGCAACAGAGGGTGTTTAGGACTCACCCAACCCGGAAGCCCCAATTCCAGCTCCTGTCTCTCTGTCCTCTACAATCAACTCACCTTCATGAGCTCAAAGAATTCTGCAGGGGAAGAGAGCACTCTGACGTGAGAGCTGGAGACTCCAAACTCCGGAACCAAGTTTCTGATCCACTGGAATCTGTGCACACCCTCGGGACACAGGCAGCATGGCGGGGAGGTAACCTGGGGGACAGCTGGAGACAGCAAGGGAGCCAAGAACAGCCATGGTGACCTGGCGAGAGAGACACATTTGTCAAATACCTCCACAGACCCCACTCTGCTGCTGGGGGAGGGAGGTTTTGGCCATCTCGCATTTTTTTCAGGCTATTTATTTATTTAAATATCTGATTTTTGGTTTGTTTGAGAAAGGCCCTCACTATGAAGTCTTGGGCTGGTACAGAACTCCCTATGTAGGCCAGGCAGGCCTCGAACTCAGAGATCTTCCTGCCTCTGCCACCCAAGTGCTGGGATTAAAGGTGTACATATACCACCTCATTGGCTTTTCAGACATTTTAAAATGTGAGCCAGAGGTGAGCTCTATGGGAAGGTTTTCCCTCCAGCCCCTTTTCCTCCCTGCACCCTAGAGTAGTCAGTGCCTTGCAACACAAAGCGCCAAGGTCTATGCACAAACCCGACCAAATTTACTCCAAACATCCCAGAATCCAAACTGAGAACAGTCACAAGAAAATTCACAAAAGTTCCGGCGTGTTTCAATCTGCCCTTTCTGCACAAATCCACCTCAGGAAAATCCTGCCTGCACACATTGGGACACCTCCTATGAGTTCTTGCCTAGGGAGACCACTGCCATTGCCATTGCTTGGCTGCCCCCCATAACTAGATGGTCAGACCCCACCGTTGAAGATACCACACACTTTGGTTGTAGGACACAAAGTAATCAAGCTGGAAATGACCTGAAACTTTCTTCCCTGCTGGCTAGCTTCCACAGTGCCAGAGTGCTGGGGGAGAAATGTCGTGGATGGTATTACCCAGGGGTAAGCCCCAAATGTTACAACACCGACATGTCAGGAGATGTGCCCACTGGTGTAACAGTATAACTGTCATGGGGGAATCCAACCACTTTCTGATTGGATCTGAGGCCTGCTCCACAGGAGAGAACTCACACCTGATACTGGAAGTCTGGTCCAAAGCCCTGGGGGTGGAGAAGGGGGTGTCACAGTCCCTAGGGGAACCTACTACTAAATGGGCATGCCATCAAACTGTCTTCTAAATATGATCGTTTATACCCACAGACTAGTGCTACCTCCACCTGGGTCAGAAGCTTCCTTCTACAGTGAATAGCAGTTTGCAGTGACTCATAACAGGTCAAAGTTCTGCAAATAAGTGACCACTGAGTGCTCAGTCCTAAATGGGACAGTGATGTCAACTGCCCCCCCCCCCCGGGGAGGGCTCAGGGACCATCCGGGAAGGTGGGGCAGGGAGAGTGTAAGAGCCGGAGGATGGTGGGGAGAGCTGTGAAATGCTGTCTTCTGGACATGACAAGACACACACCAACCCCATCAGTCAACATTCCATGAGGCAGTGCTAACTGGGGTATGTGGGTCACAAGAGGGGGAGGGCAGCTACAGGGATGGCTCAGCAGCTGAAGGCAGAAGGCAGCTACAAAGATGGCTCAGCAGTGAGAGAGCTTGTTGTCCCTCAGAAGACCCAAGTTCGGTCCCAGAACCCACACTGGGAGGCTCAAACTGCCTGTAACTCCAGCTCCAGGGCATCTGACACCCTCTTCTGGCCACCTCAGCATGAACACACACACACACACACACACACACGAAAATAATAAATAAGGAGAGGATGTGAAGGCCGAAGGGGGATGTGCTGGGGAGTGAACAGGACAAGACACACTGTACACATGTACGCACATGAATGAGATTATCAAAGAATAGATAAAAGATTTTTTTAACTTTATTTTTCTCTCTGTGTGTGTGTGTGTGTGTGTGTGTGTGTGTGTGTCCAGTGTACGCCACTTGTGTGCAGGTGCCCACAGAGGCCAGAAGAGGGCATGAGATAACCTGGAGCTGGACTTACAGTTGTATCCAGTGCCTGATGTGGGTGCTGCAAACTGAAGTCAGGTCTTCTGCAAGGGCAGCAGCAGCAGGGGCTCTGAACTCCTGGGCTCTCCAGCCCCACGACTGAGGCTGCTCCAATCCTGCCTACAGACACTGGGAACAAGGTGAGCCTGGTGGAAGGGTGGCAGTAAAGACCCAGCCCCAAGGCTCCTGACACACAGGACTTCTGTTAAAGGAAGGCCTGAAAATGAAATGTTCTCTTTGAAACAGATTTGAGGAGAAACGCTGGAGCAGTTCGAGGCGGGAGGAGACCCCATCGTAAGTGACAGACAGTCTTAATAAGGACCTTTCCACTTCACAGACCCAGGGTCCCACCAGCACCAACCCGATCCCACAAATCTACACCACAGGCAGCCCCAGGCTGAGCCTGGAGAGCCTATGATGCTGTCCATGGAGTCAAGCCCCTAAAGCCCTGTGCACCCAGAGCCCCACACAAGCCCCACCCACTTTGAATTCCATTCTGCAAACAGCAGCTGGAAGCCCCTCTTTATTGTATGACTGGGGAGGAAATGCTCAACACCCTTAGGCCTGACGGCCACAAATTCCAGGAAGATGACTTCGCTTGCCTGCTTCACGATAAGCAATGAATCTTCCCAGGGCTCATGAATGGCGCCTCACAGATGCCAGATGGCCCCCAGCTGTGCTTCCCAGAAAGCCCACCAGTCTGTCATGGCCAACTCACTGCCAAGAAAACTTGAGTCAACAGTGGAAGGTGCTGGCTCTCTGGATCCTGGGAAGATGGGAACTTGGCCCCAGTGTGAAGGTGCAAAAGCTGTCCCTACAGCAGGTGAAGACACTCAGGAGTGTGGGCTTGCCAGTGAAAGGCCTGACATGAACAGGGGATTGCTGCCTCAACCCAAACAACAGGCCACACACTGACCAGGCTTTGAGGGAGGGAAGAAGGAAAACCAGGAGGAAACAGAAGACGGCACTAACCATGTGAGGCCACTGGGCACAGTCATACTCATGAACAGAACATGGTCTGTGTGCAGGGGCAAGCCCACGGCAGCAGTCAATGTCCATCTCACAGACACTTGCCCCAACCTGCAGAGCATATGGGGAAGGACCAAGGGTCCGCGTGCCACAGCCTCGGTCCACACAGCCTCCACACAGGCAGAGGCAAACCAGCTCCCACAGGAACATGATGGAACTCTCACTGGCAAAGGACATCCCAAAAGAGGGCAAGAGTCACTGCCAGTCTGACTCCGGTGTCCCTGTGAACACCTACCATAATGTGGAGACATAGAGCACAGGGCAGGCTCTGCAGCTTACAAACCTGGCAAAGACGACACGCTAAAACAAATCAGATAAATGCCAAAATACACAAACCGTCGAAGCAGAGCAGGGGTGTCAGGAGGGGGCAGGGGGCAGGAAGCCTTTCCAGTAGCCAACCTTGAAAAGAACTTTCAAATCCAGCAAAACTCAAGCAGGGAAGGAGAGGAGTGGGCTCTGGGCAAGGAGAACTGAGCTGGCGCCTGCAGCAGCACCGGCAACAAAAGGCCTGGCAAGGTGTCACATTAATCCCAGTACTTGGGAGGCAGAGGCAGACAGATCTCTGAGTTTGAGGCCAGCCTGATCTAGGCCATATGGGGCTACGCAGTGAGACTCTGTCTCAACCCACCCAGCACCCCAGCTCCAGAAGAACGAACTGGCAACAGAAAACAGAAAAACCACAAGGACGGAGGCAGCAAGGCAAGTGTGTCACGGCACACTCATTCCACGGTGTCAGGGCGCACCTGAACACAGCCACCTGGCCGGCAGCGGCTGCAGCGGCTACAGGGCGGTCACCTCAGAAGGTCTCTCCCCTGCAGGGAACGCTCCCTGGGAACAGTCCACAAGGGCCTTGGTCCAAGAGGCTTTTGTGTTGGCTTCCTGTTTAATCTGAGCACTGACAGGTTTGCTTCTGTTAGAGGAGCTGCGAGCCAGTTCACTTCACCCATTCACCGTGGAGCCTTCACGTGGCTTCTACTCTTCACATGGAGAGACACCTTCTCAGAGGCAGCAAGCATTTGGTTTTTTAAAAATATTTTATTTTTTTGTTTTACATGTATGAGGGTATTGCCTGCATGTATGTGAGTGCACCCGTGTCGTGCAATGCGGCAGATGTCAGAAGAGGGCTTCAGATTCCCCTGGAACTGGAGTCAAGGACGGGTAGTAGCCGCCATGTGGGTGGCTGGGAATCGAACCAAGGTCCTCTGCAAGAGCAATCAGTGCTCTTACCTGCTCTTATCTCTCCAGCCCCAGCAAGCGTTTTTTAAAGAGCCCCAGGACAGCACAAGCAAGGAGACCTGCCTGGACTGGGAGTCCTCAAAACCGAAGTGAATAGCCTCAGCAGGGCAGGTGACCTTCGGAGCCAGGGAGATCTGCTCCAGGGCCTGCTGGGGGCCTTCAGCCAGAACCTGTTGGGGCTGGTTCCTGGCTTTCCATAACGTAGTTCCTGGGGACTATCTCAGAAAACACTCACCCCACGCCACCACTAGCCCACAGTAATCCAGTCCCCACAAGCCACCCACCAAAACAGCTGATTCCCCTCTCACCAGGACATTTACTAAGAAATCACCTGTCCTGGGCCAGCAAGATGGCTCAGCAGGTAAAAGTCTAATTAGTCTGATGACCTGAGTTCAATTCCCGGAACACACATGGCAGAGAAGAAATTCCTACAAATCATCCTCCGACCTGCACACTTCTGCTGTGGCACCTACACAAACACAAAATAACATTTTTTAACAACTGGTTTTGTGGGGCCAGGCATGGTGGCACACGTCTTTAATCACAGCACTCAGGAGACAGAGGCAGGCGGATCTAAATGAGTTCAAGGCCAGCCTGGTCTACAAAGTGAGTTCCAGGTAACCTGGGAACTGTCCTGCCTCGAAAAGACAAAAAAAAAAAACTTTTTTTAAAAGATGTATTTATTTTTATTCTACATGTGTGAGAGCTATGCCTGCATGTGTGTAAGTGCATCAGTGTCATGTGATGCCCATGGAGGACACAAGAGGGTGTGAGATCCCCTGGATCTGGAGTTATGGACAGTTGTTAGCCACCATGTGGGTGCTGGGATTTAAACCCGGGTCTTTTGCAAGAACAGCCAGTGTTCTTAACCACTGAGTCATCTCTCCAGCCCCGTTTTTGTTTTTTTGAAATGGATCTT